ATGGGCACTTTTAGATTCGGAAGTACTGTCGTTCTTGTAAGCCCCACATGCATGCATCCATGCATGCATGTGTGCATGCATGCATGCATGCATGCATGTATGTGTGCATGCATGCATGCATGCATGCATGCATGCGTGCATGTATGTGTGCATGCATGCATGCATGCATGTATGTGTGTATGTATGTATGTATGCATGTGTGCATGCATGCATGTATGTGTGTATGTATGTATGCATGCATGCGTGCATGCGTGCATGCATGCATGTATGCATGCATGTGTGCATGTAAACCCTAAAACTCTAAACCCTAAACCCTAAACCCTGTGCCCTGAAGAGCGTAGATAAACCCTAATCCCTAAACCCTAGCATGAATTCCCTAAAACCCTAAACCCTAAACCCTAGGTTATGTTGTGTGTTGTTGTTGTATGAAGGCATATGAGGCCCCTGAGGGGCTGGAGACAAGGGCCCCCATATGCACGCATGTAGACGTCAACAGCACAGTGGGGGTACTGGCGGGGGCCCCCCGGAGGCCCCTCCCCCGCTGCGACTTCACCGTAGGCAACCACAGCAGCCCCCTGGCTTACCTGCAGTATCTACAGAGTATAGCGAGGGGGGGGCCCCATGCAGAGACAGAGACAGAGACAGAGACAGAGAAGGGGACAGAGAAGGAGACAGATGAGGAGACAGAGAAGGGGGCAGATGGAGAGAAGGGGATAGAGACAGAGAAGGAGACAGAGAAAGAAGAGATAGATAAAAATAAGGAGACAGAGAAAGAGAAGGAGACAGATATAGAGAAAGTTTTAGGGATAGAGACAGGGAAAGATATAGAGACAGAAGAAAAAGAGACAGATAAAGAAAAAGAAAAAGAAAAAGAAGAGGAGACAGAGGGATTCATACAAATGGTAGTTAAACCCCACTATGACTCTGTTGGCCGTGGGGTGGAGGAGACAGCTGAGGAGACAGCTGAGGAGACAGCTGAGGAGACAGCTGAGGAGACAGCTGAGGAGACAGCAGAGGAGACAGCAGCGGGGAGAAAGGAGACAGTTGTTCGCTCGCGCAGGCTCGCAGCAACTGTCTCCTCTGCCCCTGCATCTTTTATAAATGAAGAGGAGACAGCTCTTCTGGGGTCAGAGGAGACACCTGATGGAGCCGCTGCTGCAGCAGAGGAGACAGCAGCAGGAGACAGGTTGCTGCAGCAGCAGCAGCAGCAGCAGCAGCAGCAGCAGCAGCAGCAGGGGGTAAGTAAGAGAGAGAGAGGGACCGAGGACACAACGGAGACAGAGCTAGACTCTGTGTGTGTTGGTGATGGCCCCCAACAGCAACAAATAAAAGAAAAAAAAGTAAAGGGAGAGGAGACAAATTTCTCTTCTCTTATAAATATAAATAAAAAAATATATGAAATAGAATACGGCCTCATACACAGATACGCTCTGGCGCAGTGGCTAGCGCGGGCCTGGCAGGCAAGGCTCTCTGCTGTCTCCTTTTTGCTGTCTCCTTTTTGCTGTCTCCTTTTTTCTTTCGCTGTCTCCTTTTGCTGTCTCCTTTTTGCTGTCTCTTTTTTGCTGTCTCCTTTTTGCTGCCTTTTTTTCGCTGTCTCCCTTTTGCTGTCTCCTTTTTGCTGTCTCCTTTCTGCTGTCTCCTTTTTGCTGTCTCCTTTTGCTGTCTCCTTTTGCTGTCTCCTTTCTACTGTCTCCTTTTGCTGTCTCCTTTTTGCTGTCTGCTTTTTGCTGTCTCCTTTTTGCTGTCTCCTTTCTACTGTCTCCTTTCTACTGTCTCCTTTTTGCTGTCTCCTTTCTACTGTATTTTTTCTCCTTGTACTCCACTGTCTCATTTTAAGCAATATATATATATATATATATATATATATATATATATATATATATATATATATATGTGTATATATATATATGCGTGCGGTGTACAGGCAGATGAAGGGCCTGAGGGCAAGGCCCAGTTGCTGCTGCAGGTGGGGCGCTTGATAGAGGGGGAGACAGACTCCAGCGGAGACAACATTCCTCTTTGTTACTATGGTGAGGAGACAGAGACATTTACTTTTTCTTTTTCTTTTTCTTTTTCTTTTTCTTTTTTTTTTTGGGTTTCTAGGATATTCTCTTTATTACAATGACTGCCGCTGTCTTCGTCTGCTGCTGCTGCTGCTGCTGCTGCAACTGCAGCAGCACATGATCAATACAACCGCTGCTGCACCGATCTCTCCAGCTGCTGCTGCTGCTGCCGTTGCTGCTACTGCTGCTGCTGCTGCTCCTACTGCTGCTGCTGCTGCTGCTGCTGCAGA